ACGTTTTTTGTGGACTTTTATGGGCCTTTCTGCCTGGGGCGCCATAGACCTCCATTATTAGAATGTCAGCAGACAGCAAGAAGCCTCCCAGATCTCCAGATGCATTTGAGATATCAAAAAAGTACTCCAGAGTGTTGTTCAGCATGGGGGTGAGTAGAAAATGAAGGCTAATCATGTTTTGGGTGTACTATTCCTTTAATTCATATTGGCCCCAACACTTACACTCCGGCCGAAGCTCCTACCTGTGACAGTAAATAACTCAAGGCGCTCAAGAAGTAATATAATGTTAACTCCCTAAATGATACATACAGCATATATAGGCCTTCCTTGTCATGCACGTCCTTGTGACGGTTTGCATATGGTGTAATTTTCTATTTCTTCAAACTGTAAAATCCTTGCACAAAACTAAATCATAATAAAACTTCTTTGTTTAAACCAAACTAGGATGTTCCTCTTACATTTGGCGAATTTAAGTTTGAAAATTTACAAAAATATGTTGCGGTGCATGATGGGGTTTTGCATGCATTGTTAGGCATCCATAAGTGGGCCGGTGTAGATGGAAAAATGCGAGTTCTGCGAACTGTTCCCAGTCCGAGGGGGAAACATTCTTTACTCCTGTTCATGCATATCAATCATAATTCAGCGCTGTGTTTCCTGCCGAGGTCTGAGTGCCAAAGACTAGAGTCATTGAATCAATAAATTTCTTCTAATTGTCCTTTCTCTCCATATGAGTTTTTCAGATTGCTGTTAACACGCAGCTTGATTTAATTAAGGCTAATCATGTTTTGGGTGTACTATTCCTTTAATTACACCTCTGGTTTTTTGGAGGCAGGAGAATCCTGTGTGTAAATGAACAGAACACTTTTAACAAAGAGTTTATTGTCATTGTGAAATCATATTGTTGGCATTATCTGCTGGGCTTACACGTGTTAAAAACAGCTGTGCTTTATTAGTTTATAATCTTTACTAATTTACAGGTTCTAGAGTTAATTTATTTTTTATTGTTTTGCTTTTACTTAGATCATTTTCTTCTGTGTAAATAGAAAGATCTACAGTAGTAGCCATTCACATTGCTCCCACTTTCCTTGATGGGCCCTTAGCTGATCCTCGTAGATTCATTTTTAAAACATCAATCTTTGTGCTACAATATTCTTTCTGTCTTGATTTGTGGAGATTAAGATCTAAAGAGAAGCATCATCTCCTGGTCAGACCCTGTAAATCAGTGAAAGGGTGGGGTCAGAGTAAAAAGGTATACCAGAGGGGGGTCACTCCAGTGGCTGGAGGGGATTCTGCTGGGAGTTGCAGGGAAGTGGGCTGCCATTCGGCTGTTTTTTTGACTGGAAAGGACCATTTTGAATGGCTGCTACTGTATTCAACCATAATGAACCTTTCCATTTTATGCACTTGGAAAAGGCAACATGTGCAGATTTGCTTTGTTTAGACACTTCTGTTCTCTTACTGACGTCATGTTTTCAATCAGTCTGCAGAAACGGCTCCCAGTCAACTATAACATCAGAAAAGTATCCTGCTTGTTTCAAAACTGCAAATATCAGAGGGATCCAATGATTATGTAACTAAAATAAATGTGAAAAAATATGCACATGTATTTAATATTTTTTATTTTATATTATTTGGGCAAAAGGAAAACATATATATGTATAACAATGATTAAATCCAGTGTTAATATGGATTCTGATGATTTTCTATTTTCCCTGCTCTATATAATTAACACATGGCAACCAGTTCTAGCCTAGACTTTATATAGGCCCAGCCATTTAAAATAGGAAAAGAGGAAATAGATATTAAAATCCTTGCATTAAAAAAGTGATTCTGCTTCTAGAAAATACATTTCTGTGGCTGCACTCTGGAACTCCTAATATAACCATTTATTAATTTAAAAAAGGGACTAGTTTTATTTACTTATACAAATTTTTTTTTTATTTTAACCAATTGTTTTTGCTTTCACGTCTGAGTTTAAACACAAATGTTTGAATAAAACATATTTTTTTTACTGAACGTCTTTGAGGATTATTTGTATCCTAGCTGAATAACAGCTTCATAATGTATGGTTTGTTTTCATTAATGGGCCTTTGTTTAACAGTATTCTTGCTTCGCTTTTTATATGGTTTCAAATGCCATTATTAAATAAGACTTTGAGCACAAGTCAAAGCCAAAATCACCAAAAGAAGTTTAACTTTATCGTTAAACTTCCTCAGTAGAAGGTTGCTGAATATCCAGGAGGTTATATGGTTTAGCACGTCTCTTTCTGTTATGTTTTTAGATCTGAATGCATATTTCACCAAATTTGATTTAAACCAAAACATTCCCCTTATGTCTAATGGCTCTGTAGAAATAAACTATGTTTGAATACAGAAGCCTTTTATTTAAAGCTTTTTTACTTAAATATCAACAGTTTTTTGAACGTACTGACATTAAAATATAAAAACATGTTTAGTTTCAGTCTAATGGACAGTTTGATTAATTCAGAAATAACAGGTCCGTTGTTTTTTCCACTGATGCAGATTGAAATAGATTTCTTCTGTTGTATTCAGATTAGATATTTCAAAAATGTTTATATATAATTTATTTCATATGATCTGGACTATCCTAAGCTTGTTTCTTTTGCATAGCCAGCAGGGGGAGCCACTTCCTTGTCTCCTGTTTTTGAGCTGATTTTCAGCTAAAGAAGGTTTGGGCTCATATTGTTCAGCTTATGAGCAGGATCAGAAAATGAAGTCCTGAAGAAGCAGAAGAAATCCAAGAAACACCTGAGAGTCCTACAATCTTTCAGTCTGTCAGCTGTGTGAGAGGCTATGGAAGCCCGTTTCCTTTACTCGCATGAAAAATCAGACAAAAAAAAAATCAAATATCATAGTTTGAACTTTGCTATTTCTTAATAATGAGATACTATCTGTATAACATAAGATAGCTAAGCCCTGAGTTATGTTTTTTCATGAGAGTAGCAGAAACTGGCTTCATTACTAGTTGAAGCAATTATGAAAATCAAGTCAAACATTTTGAGAGCAATGTTTACTGTATATTGGGTAGAAAACAAAGTTTTCCTTCGAGGTTTAAGACAGAGAGACAAACATTATAAAATGTTAGATATTATATATTAAATAAACAATAAAAATAAAATAATAGATATAACATTTAAAAGAAACAAATTGTAGATAATGAGAAATTAGAACCAAAGCTTAGACTGGAGATGGGACAAAAGGCATATATTTACATAAAATATTACAAGGTAAGGTTATACGAGTCTAACATAAAAAATACATGGGTTGCATGGAGTTTGCATGTTCTCCCTGAGCATGCGTGGGTTCTCTCCGGGTACTCCAGCTTCCTCCCACAGTCCAAAAACATGACTGTTAGGTTAACTGGCTTCTATAAATTGTCTTTAGTTGTGTGCATGGCTGTGTTGTGACAGACTTGATAGTACTATAATATATTCTAACCTATTCATACTGTGGTAATGAGTATGGCTTCCTCCGCTTTCCGTTTCAGCTTTTATTTTGAAAGGTAGAGGAAGTATCTTCCTTCCATCTGATTGTTTCCAGCTTTAGTCTGCAGCAGCGCAGCATCCAGCTCCAGAGCTCCGCTCAGAGAAAACACTCCACACTTCTTCTCTTCCCTCTTCTCTGTTTCGGCTCCTCTGTTTCTATTTAAAGGCTTTTTTCCAACAGGAAATTTTTTTTCTTCTAATCTCTGTGGAGCAGAGAGATTTTTAAGGAGCTGAGAGC